CCAGGAAGCTGGAGCCGATTCAACGCAACCATCCGTTTTATGTATTTATTTTTCCAGTCCTACGTGTGTGGGGGGGAGGGGCCTTAAAACCCTCTCTGATCAAATGCCGAGCTGATGGTCTCCTTGGAGGTCGCAGACTCGGGTGCATCTGGAAACAGGGCTCCGGGTGTGGGGTGTTCTGCCTGGTGACATCCGCAATCTCGCTTTGCTGTAACACTTCATCACAGCTGCCGCCCTTCTTTGGAACCTTCTAGATTTACTTAACAGACGTGTGTGTGGGCATTCAAAGGTCTTGGACGACATCTTCTGTTTTATACACCAGGTAGAGAGAGCTCTTTTGGAAATGGTGCTATTTAGCTAGAGCTGGGGCAGTTTATTTGCTGGGTAGCTGGCTAGTTGGTAAAGGATCATTGCATTTCTTGTATGGAAAATCTCAGGCTTGTGGGGGCACAGGCTCTGGGTGGACGAGCTGAAGCACCGTAAGACAGTTGGTCAGTGATGGTCAACTTCCTGGACTGCTCCTCAGCTGGCCCAGGGGAGGGAGGCATGAGTCCCAACCCCATGTGGCACCCATCAGGCCACTGGGGATCGGTTGGATAGGCTTCTCGATGGGACCATTCAAACTTCACAAGACAGGAAACGGATGTAGCAAGGGGGCCTGCTTCTACCTTCCCTTTCCAGCCCCCAGTCCAAAAGCTGAGAATCCTGGAAGCAGAGTTCCTGCTAGTTATGCTCAGTGGCTGGAACCGGAGCCTAGAATATTCAAACCACTTACACACACACACACACACACACACACACACACACACACACCAAGAAACAAAATGAATTTCCTTGGTTGGTCAGTCCAGTTTCCACACAATGCCAGGGCCCTCTGTGACCAAGTTGAATACCACCCGGCCTCTTTTTAAACCCATGTTCTAAAGGAAAGGAGCCTGGCAGGACCGTGTTAAAGTGCTCGGCTTGTGAACCCGAAGATCTGTGGTTTGAATCCACCAGCTGCTCCGTGGGAGAAAGATCTGGTGATCTGCTCTCCAAAGATCCTGCGTAGGGAACCCTCTGGGGCCGTTCTCCTTTGACTTGTAGCGCTGCTGTTAGTTGGAATCAGCTCACTGGTGACGGGACAGGCAGCGAGGAGCTCAGGACTCTCGCGGGATCTGGGTCTGCGGTTGGATAGCCCAGCCTACGAGCAGGACTGCTTTCATTGAGCTGAAGTCAACTGCTCCATCCCTTGGATGCAAGAGAGCCTGGCCGACCCATGCATGCAGTTACTGGTGGTCGGGCACTTCCTTTTTTCAGGTGAACCGCTCCCTTCGACCCCACCCTGACCACCTTGTGGGGTATCTTTGAGGACCTTGGCAGGGATGAGAGGAGAGTTTGAGCTGGAGGTGACGATGATGGATCACCCTTGCAAAGTCAATCCTCCAAGCTGGCATTCGGGGAAATTCAGGAGGAAGTCCAGGTTAACACAGTATCAGGGACCGTGGAAGGAAACCTCAACGGTACCATCTCTGTCTCAATGGAAACCATCACAGCAGCGCTCATTTCTCTGGGCATCAACGTTAGGAAGCTCCTAAGAGGCCATCAAGAGCCCAAGTGGTGCAGGGAAGAAGCAAACCTTCTGCTGTCAACCAGAAGGTCAGCCATGTGAACCCAGCAGGGGCCCAGCAAGGGAAAGACCTGGCCGTGCGATCCGATGAGGAGGCCCGTGTGGGAAGCCTGGCGGGGCTGTTCTACTCCTTCTATCGGGCTGCGATGAGTTGGGACCGACTCCGCTGCACAAATACAATCACCGGGAAGCAAGTTTTTGTTTGTGTGGTTCTTGTGCAAACATTTGCAGTTGCTCCTGTTTTGTTTGGCTCCGGTTCAAGGCAGAGGACCAGGAATTTAGGGGAATAGGGACACTTGGGTTAATCTCAGGGTCCAGAATAATCAATTCCTATTTTGGATGAGTTCCTCTTGGGAGTTAGCCAATGGGGATGGTTCCCTGCTGTCTGGGGGCCCTGGCTTGGCTCCCACCTCTGATTTGCACCAGAGGCTGGGGGTTCCACTGTTGACAGCTGCTCCGGCAGGTATGACAATGGAAAGAATGGGATCGAGAGGTGATAGCCCTCTTAGTGAGATGTCCCTTGCCCACCTGAGTCTGGTACTCACCTCCTGGGATTAGTGATCAAGGCAGTCCAGAAACTCCCTGAGGCGGTGGAGGCTGGAAAAAGACCACTGCTCTGACCACAAACCTCACCCTCTACGGAGCCAGGAGGCTGGAAAGGGAAGGGAGATGACATAGCAGACTCTGAGGAAGCATTTTCTCGGAGTTTGGCCGCAAAGGTGTCTGGGCACCGGTTTGGGGTGGATCTGCCAGAAATGGGTTGAAATGTGGAACTGAGACAAAGTTGATAAGACTTGCACGAAGCCCAGCATATCCTTTTAAAGTTTGCAAGAACCTGAAAATGCTCTGGCCTTCAGATCCATCCAATGGGCATTATGGGAAAAGGGGGTCCTGGGCATGGGGACAGGCAGGCAAGGGGGTCTTGGGTGGGTTCCGGATGTCAGCTGTGCCAGCATGAGACTTTTTAGTTCCGAGTCCCTTCAGAGCCCAGTGTAGGTGGCGCATGAGTGAAGCCGGCCCACATCCCACCCTGATCCTAGAACCATCAGCCACCGTCTGGGCTCCCTCCTACTCCCACGCCCTGAGTTCCAAAGGACCATCCCCAAGAGAAACCCACAGATCAAAGGAGAACATCAGCCTCAGACAGATCCCAGGCCTGGTGCCCACTGATGTCCACCTGAGGAAGCCAGCCCCCTAAATCTTTCCCTATTCCCAGAAAACCACAATCAAAAGCTGGAAACAAACAAAAAGAACTGCCCAGAGGGCAATGAAGACAATGCAGAAGACCAGAAAAACGTAGCTCCTATGTTCATGACCAACAAGAACATGTTATTCCAAAGAAGTTTGACGCCATGGGCCTATTAGAACTTTGCTAAAAATACCTATATGCATATGCATATATTTAAATCTGAACAGAAAAAGAGACTCCTCTGAGATGCGTGGACATCCTGGGACATAGTTGTGCATTGTATTTCTAGAGCCAGAACGATGTCAACAGAAAATGCAGAGGTGCTTCCTCTTTCTGGGTGTGGCCAGGGCTGGTTTAGGGTGCCCCTGACTGGGAAGCTTTTGGGTGCTGTCGTGGAAGTAGAGGGAGATGACTGAACTTCAGCGTAGGGCTGGGGCTTTCTACTGGTCAACCGGGGGACACAGGGATGCCCTGTTCCCACCTCGCCAATTCTGCGGTCACGCGAAAATTCCTTCCCCTAAGAAGCTCGTCTTAGATGTTTTCTGTCAGCTTCTCAATTATGCCCCCAGTCACCTGACTCGTGGCTGAGAAGCCTGGGGTTATGCTACTTGAGACACGTCAGCAGAGAAATGAAGAAAGGAGAGGGCTGGAGCTACAGACCCGCTTTTAATGAAACCTGGACACGGAACATCCCCTTATGCACAGACTTAATCCTCCAGCCACGACCGGAGCAAGACAGAGACATTCAACGGTTACAAATATCAACAATACATCACAGTTTTTACAGAAGAGAATACGGTGGTGTTCTTGTCCTTAGAAATAGGGGTCTTTGCAGGGGCAAGGGCAGCGATGAGGTGACCGTGACCGGGACATGGCAGAGGAGAGGTTGGGAGTCAAGTTGAAAAAACAAGTTTGTTTTCGCTGGCCATTCTCCGGGGCAAGCTGGGGGTGGTGGTGGTGGGGTGGTAGTAGGGGATGGGGGTGGCTTTGGAAGGAAATGGCTGGGCAGGATATTGTTGTTTCTCTTTCTTATGCTTCCTCCTTCTTGCTCTGGAACCAAGGTCCTCACTTTCTGTCCATCTTCCCCATGAAGTGTGCTTAAGACTAAATCCCTAGAGAAGGCACTGCACCAAGGTCTGGTGGTATCCCTTTACCCAAAGAAGAAAAGATGACTCCTTCAAAGTGTGCCTACCTTCCCACAGCTGGCCACAGACGTGGTTGTGTGGCTTGGACCCATAGCTGCCTGGCCCCTAGCCCTTTCTCAGAATGGTGGGGGTTGGAACTCAAGTTTGGCTAGGTTCTGGATGGAGTTTCATTGAACTCTTCAAAGGGAGCCAGGCATTTGCCCACCTGCAGCTCCTAGCTTCATCTCTTTGGGCTAACGTATACTTGTATATGTGTTTTTCCTGTGTCCGCTGGTTCAGGCAGGGGTGGGAAACGGACCACCCGGTGAATGCTTCTAACACCTGGTCTTACTCTTCTCCATCCACACCCATCTCGGTGGTCACATCCAGCTTCTTGGTCGACTTCCCAGTGGGTGTACTACGTGGACACGTGCCCAGGTTAGATGCACGCCAATGTTCCTTCTTGGCGGGTGGGGGCTGGGAAGACCTAAAAGACCCTCTTTCAAATCGAGCACGTGATGCATATGTACATGAGTAAAATCTGGGGTGTAGGGGTGAGAAAAGAACACGAGAACAAAGCTCAAATGCTTCCTAAGCATAGTATATGCTGAGCTTCAATGATTCTGTTTCTATAAGAACTCTGCAGGACTCTGGCTAGTGAGCCTGGAAAGGTAACTTCTTAGTGACTTCTGAATTCGTCCTTCAAAAGTGACTCCTTCAAATGCCACTTGAAGGTCGGACAGAGCACAGGAGGACGCAAGGGTGGGCCAACACGACCACACAACACAGAAAGGACCTTTGGTTACAAGGAGAGTCGCACCAGTTGGTTTTCAGTGAAAAAGGAAAGAAAGTGGGGGGAGTCCAAAGAAAAGCCAGAAAGAAACCATTTTCCAATCTCATCGGCTTCAACCAGCAATTACGAAATGCCTTGGTTTGAAGAAGGGGTGGTAAGTTCCTTCTCACGATATATGGCTATATTTAAACATGTTCACGTTCCTGATATGTAAAATAGACTATATTACTACTTACGACTATTATTATTGATTTTTTTTTTTTTACAGATAGCATCAGCTCTAAAAATATCTGAATCAGAAATCACAACTTAGGTACTTTTATCAAAAAAAAAGCATTTGTTTGTTTTCCCTGAATTTTCACATTTGTGCTGATGGTGGACGTAGACGGCGATGCAAACAGAGAGGGAGACGTGAAAAGATGGCCGGTGGAACCTTATTCCACGGTGGCTCCTCATTGGCCCCCAGCCCTCAGGAAGTGCCGCCGCCTCTTCTCTCGTGTGCCAACTAGCACTGGGCGACCTTGAACTCTCCCTGCCCCTGGAGTCCCCGTGCATTTGCCGCAAGTGCTTGGAAGACACCTTGCAACAGTGGAGGACTCCTTTTCCTTGGGAACCCAACAGAGGACACAGCCCCTTGGAGGACCTGGCGGTGCCCACAGAGGCCCAGAGGTTCTGCCAACCAGGTCTGTGTAGAGCAGACGAAACGGGTTTGTTTTCAGGTGGTGGAATGACCGCAGGCCCTTGTACTGGTAACAGGTGGACCGACCTTGTGCCTTGCATGTACCCAGGGGAGGCAGAACAGCACATTGAGATCTATGCACTGACAGGTGGATCGAGCCTATTGTACCAATCTGAGGGGGCTTCAAAAAGTGCATGGAAAAATCCCATGCTCTTGTAATTTCATATCCACGAGCTGCCCCTTCATAGGCCGCTCAACGACACATTGTACTACGGACAAACAAAACAACACCCTGTCTTTGCTCCAATAGACAGACACACGCCCGGCACCGTGTTGAAGGCAGGCAGACCTGGATTAGGATATTGGACTTGGAATATCATCCATCAGCATTGGATTGTGAGAGCAACGTCACTCCATCATACTAAGGGGGCAGACCCATCATCTACCCTGACAGACGAGCCAACACTGTGGCACGGTCCTATCCAGTGGCTCAACACAATGTCACGGTACCGAGGCATGCCCGACACCGCCACTGGGCTAACATCAGGCAGGCCAACGCCAGGACATGGTACTAGGACAGGAAGACCAACGCCAAGAAACGCGCCGGACCGCTCACGATGCGCACACATACTTATTGCTTTTGTCTGTACTGGCTGGGCTGCAGGAGAGCTGAGCTGTTCGTACAGACAGTGACACTGAGAACATCCCGACCGCTGGTTGACAAGACAGAGGACAGAGTGAGACACCCAGGGCCCTTCTTTGCGATGTCCATGTCTCCTACACGTCTGACTTTGTGAGAGGTCCCACCCAGGGGCCAAGCACCCTTCCTGACCCCTGGGCGTGAAGGGGGAGTTTCCGAGGGGCAGGGGAGGGGTCCACAGACTTCAACCTGGCAGACAACAGTACCACAGCACAGTGTCACCCACCACCGTGGCTGGGAACAGGCAGGTAGCAGCAACCCAACGACGGTCCCAACAAGTGGCCCACGGGAAAAGAGTGCTTGTTTTAAAGTGCAAGATGTTGACACGGTCCCTGGTAGAACCTAGTTTTGAAAAACATAAAGTGCTTTTTATTTTAACTTTTTTTTTTAAGCTCGAATACCACAGGAAATAAAAAAAAAAGAATTTCTTAGAGTAGGTGCTCTTCCTGTGGCGGGGTGGGGGTAGTATTCCAAAGTCTGAACCGGGCTTCTCGATGGGGCGAGGGTGTTCTGTGGTGGTGACTCTTTTTCCCCTTTCATCTTCGCAGCGTCCACAACAGGAACAAAGCATCAGGCTTGCCGCTGCTTTTCCGTTTCTGGCTCTCTCCGAAGAGGTGATTTCTTTTGCATATTAGACACTTGCATAACGTTTGGGTCTAGACTAGTGGGCACAGGAAGGGTGGTCCTTCTTCAACCCTCCAGCAATGCTTAGCGGCCACACTGCTGGCCCCGTGGCAGCCTTTCTGGGGCCCTCCCAGGCTGCCCAGAGGCGATCCGGATGGAGAACAAGGGGTGCAGCTAGCCCTGACGGTCTCTCAGAACAGTGGGCCAGTCCAGGGAGACACTTGAGTAAGGGTGTTGTGCTGGGTCGTGGCTTATGGCGCAGAGATTTCCCGATGATACAAGCGGTCCAGGTGGCTTCCTAACCGTGGATCCACCCAGGAGGTGGTGGCCAGGTGCTCACAGAGGTGGCTGGGCAGCATCCAAGATCAAATCCCACCAACCCCTGTCTTTCCACTCCAGCCACTTTCCCCAGCATCCTTCTCCAGCAGAACCCAGGAGGGAGGGAGCAGTTGTCCTCACAGGCTGGCTGGAGTCAGGAAGGAGGACAGGGGGCCTCGGTGAGGTCTAGGATGGTGGTAGTGGCGGTGGTGGCTGTGAGTTCTGCTCTTGCCATCTTCCAAAAAGGGCTGTAGAGCTGTGACAGGAGGTGCTCGAGCCTCTGACTTGGCCAAGTTCATCCCGGTGGACTTCTCCTGGCTCTCAAGGTCTTCGGGGAGCCTTCTCTGGCATCTCTCCTATGCAGGGTCTTTCTGTTTCAGAGTTCACTAGCAAGCTCTGCCTCAGGAAAGCCAAGCAGCACTCCTCTGTGGACCTGGCCCACGAGTCTTTCCCCCACAGTGGGCTCGTTCAGATGTTCGGATCTCGGGTGCTGCTGCCCTGGGCCCCTCCTCCCGGCAACACACGGACATCGGGGGAGATGTGGTTCTCGAGTTTGCCCTTTGCCTGCTCCCCGGGGCCTTTTCCAGTCAATGCTGCGGTGGAGTAAATACAGTTCTGTCTTAAGAACTTCGGAGAGGTGAGTAAGGGGGAGCTTTCGAAGTGGTTCTTCTCTGACCTCGCCCCGACATTGAACTTGGGGCTGGCGCTCCCATGGAGGCTCTTAGGGGGGCTGGAGTCCACACTGTAGAGCAGCTGCCCCTCGTCATCTGTGTCCGCGTCGATGTACTGGTGGATCCCGGCCTCAAAATTGAACGATATTGCTGGCTGTCTCTCCGGGGACCGGGGGGGTGTCCGGGCACTCGCCGTGGTATAGATGGAGGACTCTGGGCTCAGCATGGGCCTGTCCAAGAGAGCGGCACACTCCAGTCCAGCGACAGCCACTGCAGCGCCTCCCCGGTTCCTAAGAGGGTCATGGTACATGCCCAGCATGGGGAGCAGTGGGCCGGGGGCACCCTCCATGAAGTCGACTTTCAGTGCTCGGAGCTTCAAGGCGTTGCCAGCCTTCATGGAGCTCTTGGGGCTCTCGATGAAGAAACTAGAGTGGGGGCCAGCAGCTGGGGTGGGGTTGGCCTCCATCAATCTACCTCCACCGGCACCCAGAGTTCCCCGCCAGCCCATCTCCGGGGCCGGGCCGCCCCCCGTCTTGCTGGGGAGGGAGACCAACGGGCTGTGGGAGAACCTGGTGGCCTCAGGGAAGTCCGTGGCACAGCTGATGAAGCTATCGATGCTCGACAAGCTGCGCATGTCGACCACCCCTTCTGTGCGCGTGGGCAGAGGGGCGACGGGACTGGGGATGCTTTCCATTTCAAGTTCCTCCTCTGGTTTACTCTGGGTTGCTGACTCCTTGGTAGTGAGGATCGGTTGAGATTGGGTTTTGGCCATCTTATTGTACATGTCTTCCAACTGCTGGACATTCAGATGCTGGGGACTAGAAGATGCTCTAGCTTTCTCAGGAGACCCCTGCTCCTGGGCTTCGAAGGACTTACTGGAACTGGTTTCAGACAGTGTCCTCTTTGTCCACTTCCATTTGTTGGGAGACAAGTGGTTATCTTGCACTTTGTCCTTCTTACCCAGGTTCTCACCATTCTTCTCGACGACGATGTCCATCATCTCAATGCTGCGGGCAAAAGCGTCCTTCATGTTCATGGACACGATGCTGCCGTTCCTCTTGGCTCTCTCCAGAGCCTCCCTCCGCTTGATGGCTTTCTCTTGCCTCTTCTGCTCCTTGTAGAACTCAGAGAAGTTATTCACGATGATGGGAATGGGGAGAGCAATCACAAGGACCCCCGCAATGCAACAGAGCCCCCCTACAATTTTCCCCAGGAGAGTCTTGGGGTAGATATCTCCATACCCAACCGTCGTCATGGTGATGGTGGCCCACCAGAAAGAGGCTGGGATGCTTTTGAATTTGGTGTCATCCTCATCCTTCTCAGCAAAAAAGACCAGGCTGGAAAAAATCATGATACCCATGGCGAGGAAGAGAATGAGTAAGCCCAGCTCGTTGTAGCTCCTCCTCAGGGTGAAACCCAACGACTGAAGGCCCGTTGAGTGGCGGGCGAGCTTGAGGATGCGAAGGATCCGCATGATGCGGAAGATCTGGACCACGCGGCGGACATTCTGGAACTGCAGCACACTTTTGTTGGACTCGGTAAGGAAGATGGTGACGTAGTATGGCAAGATGGCCAACAAGTCAATGGCGTTGAGCGGGCCCTTGAAGAACTTCCACTTCTTGGGCGAGGAGAGGAACCGCAGCAGGTACTCCATGGTGAACCACGCGATGCACACAGCCTCCACGTGGGCCAGCTGGGGGTTGTCTGTGGTTTGGCCGAACTCATCGAGGCTCTGCAGCTCGGGGAGTGTGTTGAGTGACAGGGCGATGGTGGAGAGGACGATGAACATGATGGAAATGATGGCCAGGATCTGTGAGGAGAAAAGAGTGGGTGTGTTAGGCCGGGTTGGCTCGAGGAACAAACCCAGTGGCACTCATATAGGTGTAGGAGAGAGCTTTGTATCAAGAAGTCATTGTATAGCAAGCAAACATCCCAGCCCTGGCCAGATCAAGTCCCAAAGTCCAATCCTAGTCCCTAAGTCCCTCTTCAGCCTCATGCAATGATGGAGAGTGCAGGAAGATCACTGGCTGGTGGGTGCAAAGCTGTGTGGATCTAATGGCGGTGGCTGCATCCAGGGCTCTGGCAGCAACCAGGACCAGCCAGCAGGAAGGTGAAGGCAGTGGGAGGCGGGGGAGGTTCCCAGGATCCTCCTTATGAGACGGCCACGCCCACAAGGAGGCACCATCAGGCTAGACTCCACCTCTACACGTTCGTGTGTCTTCACGTTGACATGACATTATGGAGCTCCCCGTGGGCTTTAGTTTATCAACCATCCTGTGCACAGCCATTGTAAAAACCTGGGTTGGCATGACTCGCGCCAATTCCAGAGCATGTCTTCACATCTCACTAGCCAGCTGATGATGGAATGAGCTACAAAGATCATTCATTCAAACTCATTTAATGTGCCCATGTGGAAGCAGAGGCCCAGGGCATTGAAATGATTCAAAGTGAATCATCTAGCTCAAGGGATGGTCAACTTATTCTGTAAAGGGCCATCCACTTATCTGCCTTCTGCTGGAGCTACCCAGCTCTGCAGTTGTACTGTGAATGCAACTTAGGTACTACAGAAATGAATGGGTAGACCTGTGTTTCAATAAAACTTGACTTTTAAAACCAGGCGGTGGGCAGGACTTGACCTGCGGGCCATAGTTTGCTAATCTTGACCCGTAGTTCTACCTCTATTGGGGTGGGGGTCTGCATTGGTAACTAGGATACTAATGGCAATAACACACACACACACACACTACTGTTGAGTCAATTCTGACTCACAGTGGTCCTATAAATTGGGGTAGAGCTGTCCCTGTGGGTTTTTGAGACTGTCATTTTTCATGGGAGTTGAAAGCCTCCTCTTTCTCCAGAAAAGCGGCTGACCTTTTGGGTGGTTTTGAACTGCTGACCTCACAGTTAGCAGCCCAACATGTAACCACTGTGCCACGAGGACTCCTATAATAACAATCGTTACTATTTATTGAGTGCTCATTGCACACGAGGCACCCTGCTTAGCACTTCCCATGCATTCCTTACTATCCTGAACAACTCCATCGGGGGCTATTCCCTCCATGTAACAGATGGGGAAATGGAGGCTTCCACGGATAGCAGGAGACAGTGCCAGGGCTTTAATTCAGGGTTGTCTGACCCCAGAGCAGGCACTCTTCAAGGCTGTGTTAAAGACCCGATGAACTCTAAGGACCCTCTTTGTAAGAAAAAAACGTGGTCAGGATTTTTCAGGTAATTCCTAGAAAGGAATAAACATTCCCAAAACTCACGGCCCCAAATTGGAGTCGATTCCAACTTATTAATGACCCAATAGGACAGGGACAGAGCAGATCTGCCCCTGTGGATTTCCAAGACTGTAGCTCTTCACAGAGGCCAGTGGTTTAGAATGGCTGATCTTGTGGTTAGCAACCCAGTGGGGGGACCAGGAGTCCCACAAACACCTTTGAGCCACATTATTTACTCTTGACTGGGACTGTGAGCGTTTTGAGGCTAAGGGCCACTGTTTATCTACCTGTGAGTGTCCTGGATCAATAAGAGGGCTTGGCCCAGAGAAAGGACTCAGTGGATGTGTGCTGAAATGAAAGGAACTGAGGCCAGTTTGCAGACTATGCAAAATATAAGCAAATATAATGCATTGCTCTGGGGATCTTTTTCAAAATGACCAATTGAATCACCTCTTTGCCTTGTGATTCTTCCCTGCCCAGGACTCTTCAGGGCAAAATCTATATCCCTAAACAAGTCTATGAGTCTGTAAGTGGAGCAAACAGTTAACACATCCATCAGCTAACGAATGGAAAGGCTGGAGGTTTGATTCCACTCAGAGGTGCCTTGCGAGAAAGTCCTGCTCGTCTACTTCCAAAATACAGCCACTGCAAACCCTACTGAGCACAGTTCTGCTGTGGCACACAGGAACACTGTGAGTCTAAGTAAAAGCCATGGCTTTGGTTTTTATCGTGGGGTGGGGGGTATCTTAGCTCAGACCACCCAGTCAGCTGCCCCAGACCACCCAGCCTCCGAATGAACCTCGCTGGGTTTTGTTTTCTGTCCTTATCCTGAAACTGCCCGTGGGTGTACCCCACTGCTGCTTTCAGGAATAGAAGAGGCTTCAGTCCCCTGCACTGGATCCCCCCTCTTCAGAACACGTGGGTATCTACTGGGACCCCCTTTGTTGCCTCCGACCTCTTTCTCGAGCCTCTCCTGCCTCCAGTGGCCCAACTTGGTATTTTTCCAGGAGCACAATTCCCAGCTGGACCAGATACTGCTCCCATTTCTGGGCTTGTTGCTCTGTCTGGTGAACTTTAACCCATCGTTGAAAGCCCAGCCCACACTGCCCCTTCCCTTGGAATTCTTTCCTGCTGTCCCAGCCAGGGGGAAAGAGCCCCCCCCCTGGGCTCTCTCAAGACTCACACCGGCACACCCAGAGCAGGCTGGCTCTCTGCTGGTTGTTTGGGGGACTCTGCTTATGTCTGCGTGGACCTCGGGACAGGGACTGGTTCTAGTTCCTCTGTGTAGCCCCAGCACCCAGCCCAGGACACGGCACCCAGTGGTCATTTCCCAAGGATTTGATGGCTGTTGTTCAAGTTCACAGAACTACAATTGTCAGGCCAGGACTCTCCTTCAGTTTTCAATGGACAAGTACTCATTGGCCATCCACGGGGCCTGAGACACTTTGCTAGGGATTGAGGGTGCCATGAGGAACCCAGGGGGTGTAGTGGATTATGCATTGGGCTGCTAACCACAAAGTCAGCAGTTCAAACCTACCTACAGGTTCCTCCCGGGGAGAAAGAGGAGGCTTTCAGCTCCCGTAAAGATTTACAGCCTCAGAAACCCCCAAGGGGCTGTTCTACTCTGCCCTCAGGGTTGCTATGAGTCAGACTTGACTCCACGGCTGGCTGTCAGTTTGGCTTTGGTCTGGAGAGGCTCATGCAGACGGCGGATCTTGGAGCTCCTAGGCCAGCCTGGGAGAGGGGGAGGGGCCACTGCACAACATAGTGTTTCCTCAACTCAGTTGTCCGTCCACCAAGTTTGTTTCCTTAGTTGCATCTGACATGTGGCCCGTCTCTCTATTTGTGGACATGTCTAATAGATTCTGAGTGTGTTTCCTGATTCATACAAATTGAGAACCACAAATTCTGTGATCACTTAAAAATAGATTATTTTATGCACGTGAAAGTGTAACTAACTGCGAACATTTATTGGCATATACTTCACATATCATACAATTTAATCGTTCAATCATATTAAGAAGAGTTGAGCAATCACCACCACAATTAATTTCAGAATATTTTCTTCTCATCCTCAATGTTAGCTCATTTCCCCCATCCTCCCCTGCCATGCCTCTAGGTAATCATCAATCCAGTTACTGTCTCTACAGATCTACCTATCCTGGATTTCATATTCAGAGACTCACACAAAACACAACCAGGAAGCCAACAACAACAACAACAAACCCCACACCAATGACTAGACAAAAACACTAAAAACACTGCATTGAAAGGAAATGAGGAACTAACAAATTGAAACAACTTTAAAGTGGGTCAAAGCCATAATTGACCCATATTCAGATCCCTGGACTACAGTCAGAGGGGATTCCCGGGAGGCCTCATCCATGTAAGGACCCTGCAAATGGATTTTGGGTTTCCACTATCATCCATAGCCTTTTGCAAATGGGTGCTTAGAATTTATCATCCTTGGATCACACAGGCTGGTGTACTTCTTCCATGTGGACTTAGTTGATGCCTCATTGAGATGCCTGCTTGTTTGGAGACAAACTTTGAAGACCACAGACACTATTCTTTCTGATGGGCAGACACCATCTAGTTTCTTCACCACACTGTTATAGCACCCATATCCTCAGGGATCTGTATATTTTTCTTTATAGGAAATCTAGTACAAGTCATTCTATAGAGACAGTAAATAGATTAATAGTTTCTGAGGGCAGTGGTAGGGGAGGTTGGGGGAAATAAGGAGCTAATATAATCATGAGGACAAGAGTGAAGAAAATGTTCTAAAATTGATTGTGGTAATGATCGCACAACTTTAATATATTTAGACCACTGACTTGTATAATACATGAATTAAATGCCAATAAAGCTATTAAAAATTTAAAACCATGATAAATATTAAAATAAAGTCTGAGAGTGAGTATTCAGTAGGGCCATGTCATAAGAACTAATTGCTCTTAGATTTGGGCTAGATTAGGTGGGAGCCTGAAATCCATTCAGATATCTATGGTTGATATATGTCTCTGGTTCCCTTTAGAGACATCACGATCATTTTAGGATAGAGAACACTAGCAACCATCCCCCTTGGGCATAAAGTAATTCTACAGACAGCATCATTCATTTAATATAAAAGTTAAAGCACTGTTAAGAAAAGGAAATTGTACTAGTATAGGCTGGCTTCAGACTGAAATATACGAAGGGCTGATCTGTACAGATTAAACTCTTAGGTGCTTGGATGCTGTTTTCATAAACAATATGGGTTGCTGACTGTGCAAAACTTTCAATAACACTCATTCACAGAGACAGAGCCATGCCTACGAGACTAATGCACCTCTTACAAAAGCAAGGAGGGCATTAAAAGAGTAAATGTACGGTAGTCCTTTTGGCCACCATTCATTGGGCACCCTCAGAGGAAGAGACCCCAACCAAAGTCCACCGTTCTATACCTTTGGGAGGCCGTCACCTGTTGCTTCTCACAGTAGGATGTTTCAGCCTTAAGTCCAAGAGACAGCCATTGGCGAGTTTGAGGGAAAGCCCTGGTCACTTAGTGGAGTTTCCATAGCAAGTCCTTCTGCTGTGCCCTATGAAG